ACGCCCCAGGCCCTGGGCGATTTTAATTTACATTCGGAATTGCTGGAGCTGAGGAATCAGTGAAGATCAGCATGGTAACATGATTGCAACTTCAGTCTGGTACCGCTGCCGTGTGAACACAGAAGCCGTTTTCTGCTACTCCGACTGCTCTGTCGGCTCCGGCAGCCCAGCGCAGGGCGCGGTCATCGCCGCCCTGGCAGGCCGGAGACGGAGAGAGCGAGGGAGCGAGCAAGAGCGAGCAAGAGCGAGCAAGAAAGCTCTGCCGGAGGGGCAGAGAGAAAGGCACGGCGAGGGTGGGAAGCCTCGTCCTGGCCCTCAGCCGCCGAGCGCCCGGCAGACGCTGCTCCTCGGCAGTGCTAAAGGCACCAACTGAATCCGGGCCTCATCGAAGGCTCTCCGACTGCAGGCAGACCACCCGACCACCCCACGAGTCCAAGATGCTGGTGTCGGTGTAAGCGCAATGTCTCGACACACTGCTCTCTAATTATTAGCACATCAACTTGCACACCAGCACACATGCTTGTCTCCCCATTGTGACGTACTTTCGTGCCTTCCAGGTTTAGGACCTCGCTCTGGTGCTTCGGGCCCTCGGGGCGTGAGCTTTGTGATCGCATGGCGGTGCTGAAGAGTGGGTTTGCAGGGTAGATTCAGAAGCGACCAAGTAAGTGACGGACTCGCACAGATTTGTACGAAGACAGGCATAAAGCAGGCGATCCGACTGAGCACCAATTCTTTGCAGAGCTTGGGACGAGAGCTCTTGGAAAGGGGTGACGTGTTCACAGACGCGACTTTGCCAGTTTGCGGTGTGCCTTTGCCTCTGTTCGGAGCCGGAGGCGATGGCGCTTCAGGTCCTCTCCTCGGGCCTGGGCTCGGTCAAGAAGGCAGCGCCGGAGGCCCCAGGACTTGCCCCCAGTTTGGGCCTCAAGGACGATGGTACGAGAGAGATCCGAGGAACCGAGTGACGCAACGTGAAACACCGCTGGAAAAGAACCTCAGAGAGGCCTGACCAGAAAGCTCGCAGCCTGACATCTCCCTTGAAAGTGTGCTGGCAAGGCCACTTCCAATCAGAATTGGGGTGTGCCGAACAGCCAGTCCGCGTCTTGGACACGGTGGCAGGACTTCCAAGTCGTGGGATGTCGCTTTGCGCCAGGCTCCATGACATCGCACGTGCATCCTTCGATTTCCAGGAGTGTGGATCTGAGGGGGTGGGGCAGATGTGGTAGTGGTGCAGCGAATCGCAGAACCGACAGTTCACAGCTGGCCACCGGCCAAGCAAAGCCTCAGGGTCAAAGGGGGAGCCGGGAGCCCACGAGTCACGATCACCGTTACGTCGCGTCTCAAAGAGCAGAGACGGCTGCGGAACCGTACTACGGCAGTGCAAAAGAGCAGGCAAGTTACCACTCTGCCTTTACTGCTGCCTTCGCCGACATATGCCACGAGCCGACGAAGACGCTGGCTGGGGTGTTTGAATCCGTGTCTGTCATCTCCACACTGTTCCACCGACTACCGTTCCGACGTGCCCAGACACCGCGGGGAGGGGTTTAGGGATTTTGGGATCTTTCCCCTCTTTGCAAGGCCTAGCTCGCGCTCGGCAGTCTTGGCTATTTGGATCCAAGGTACCAGAGCATTATCACCGAGATTTGGGCTGGTTTGCAGGCCTGCGTGCCTTGGCTCGGAAGGAGAGAGAGTGAGATCTTTTGTCCAGGAAGCAAAGTCCAGATGGCGGCGGGTCTTGAAATCATTGAACCTGGTGGAGTTTTTGGTTAAAAACGGCAGCGAGCGAATCATCGACGAGATTCGCCGTGACCAGTACAAGGTGACGAGTAGACGAGCAAACCTGGCACTTCTCCGAGAAGTTTTCTGCATTCTGTAACAGGTCCGTCCGCTCATGGACTTCAGCTACTCGGAAGATGGCTCCTCGGCGTTGGAGGGGCTTCTCTCTGGCACTTTCGGGCCCCACAATTGCCCAGTGCTCCAGGCAAAGACAAGGGCGCTGCAGTTCGCGAGAAGGCACGGTTTGTTTTGGCATCTTGGCATCTTCTTAGACTCCGTGCGTCGATGAGTCCGCTCTTCACGGAGTGGCAGAGAAAACTAGTGGTGCTGCCATTTTGGCACAGCGCGCCGTAGCGGGTTTCTGGTCTGGGAAGCGTGCGCGGTGCATCCGAACGGTGGTTTCAAACATAGTTTGGAAGTGCTCCGCGTAGTGTGCCGGCATGGGTTGCGACAGGCCAAAGCCATCTTGGAGCTCATCAGTGCCGCCACCTCAGGGACACCTTTTGTCAAACTGCGTGCGTGCCGCATTCCGCAACAACAGAGAGCTGAAGGATAACGAGTTGCTGCGGTCGGAGCGGGAGAAGGCCGTTGGACGGGATGCCACGGGGCTCATGAGCTCAGCGTGGTCGCTGCAGGCACGCACGCACCGGGAAAAGTTCATGGGCATGCGCCGGCCCCAGGATTGTGGCTTCGCTGCGGGAACCAGCCGTGATGTCTAAGCAAGGTCCTCTGTTGACAGCAGCAGCTACGGCGGTGGATATGGTGGAGGTGGAGGTAGCAGCAACTATGGCGGTGGTGGTGGTGGTGGTGGTGGCAGCTACGGTGGCAGCAGCGGTGGCAGCTACGGTGGTAGCGGTGGTGGTAGCTATGGTGGTAGTGGCGGCGGCAGTAGTGGGTGCAATCCCCAGTTCTCGATGATACAGTAGCAGAGAGCATCGCAGCACCGGTGCTGACTGAGGGGTGGCTATGGTGGTAGTTCGTTTGCGACTCGGATGCCGACAAGCTTTGGACGGCTTCGCAATTTCCAGCCGAGGTACGACCCGTACGTTGAGAACAAGAAGTTCGACGAAGCGAGGCGGAGACGGGAGGACGAGCGGGATGAGCTGCTTGGCTTGAGGCTGTTCTCATCCCCTTCGGCAGTGGAGTTTGCTCCATTTGCATCGCTAGCAGCACCACCACCGCCACCGCCACCGCC